ATGAGATCTCGGAACTATTGAACCATATCTTTCAAAGATCTACCAGGGAACGACCTGAGGACTGGAAAAGAACTGATGTGATTCTCCTTTTTTGAAAAGAAAAAAACAGATCCAGGAAACTCAGACCAATCAGCCTGACATCAATATCTGGGAAGATCCTGGAAAAGATAATCAAGCAACAGATCTGTGAACACCCAGAAGCAAGAAAAGTTAACATCAGAAGCCAACATGGGTTTATCTAAAACAGATCATGCCAAACAAATCTTATTTCATTTTTTTTACAAAGTGACTAAAATAGTGGGCCAGTAAAATGCAGTGGACATAGTATTCTTGGATTTCAGTAAGGCATTTGACAAAATAGACCACAACCTACTTTCTGGTAAGCTAAATATGGGATAGACACATCACCCCCAGATGGATTTGTAACAGGCTGACAAACCACACTCAATGTGTGATCCTTAATAGAACTACGTCTACATGGAGGAAAGTAAGCAGTGGGGTACCCCAAGTTCCATTTTAGGCCCAGTACTCTTCAATGTCTTCATAAATGATTTAAATGAGGTAATCAAAGGGAAACCCTTCAAATTTGCAAACAACACTAGATTAGCAGGACTAGCCAACATCCCAGGAGTTATGCTCAAGATCCAGATGGATCTTGACAGACTTGAACACTGGGCCCTATTTAACAAAATGTAATTCAGTGTAGAAAAAAATAAGATTTTACACTTAGGCAAGAAAAACCAAATGTAGATACAGATTCGGTGAAACCTGGCTCAATAGCAGCAACAGCGAGAGGGATCTTGTAGTCCTAGTGCATAATCTCTTAAATATACGCTAGCAGAGTGCTGCAACAGCCAAAAAAGCTAATGTAATCCTAGGTTGCATTAACAGAGGGATAGAATGAAGACCAACTGAAACATTAGTACCATTTTATAAAGCCTTAGTAAGATCACACTCAGAATACCGCATCCAGTTTTGGTCACCGTATTATAAAAAAAATGTTGAGTCTCTGGAAAGAGTGCAGAAAAGAGCAACAAAGATGACCAGGGGCTGGAGGCTAGCATGGTTCAAAATGGTTGCAGGAATTCGATATGTCTAGTCTAGTAAAAAGAAGAACTAGGGGGGACATGATAGCAGTATTCCAATATTTGAGGGGTTCCCACAAAGAAGAGGCAATGAAGCTGAAGCACCTGAAGGCAGGACAAGAAGAAATGGATGGAAACTAGTCAAGGAGAGAAGCAACCTAGAACTAAAAAGAAATTTCCTAATAGTGAGAACAATTACCCAGTGGAATGGCTTGTCTTCAGAAGTTATAGGTGCTCCATCACTGGAGCTTTTAAGAAGAGACTGGACAGCCACTTGTCTGGAATGGTATACGGTCTCCTGCTTGACAGGGCATTGGACTACAAGACCTCCTAGGTCTCTTCCAACTCTCTTATTCTTTTATTCTGTTAAGCGAGGAAAGCCTGCAAGAACTAAGTTTGTGACACTCTTCCCCCCACTATGGTGACATTTACCAGATCTCTCTAGAAGAACATTTATTTCCATTAAGATACACAAGATACATTTTGAAAGAAGTCAAAAATGACTCACAGCTTTAGAATTTACAAACACAGCAGCAGCACAAATGACTTAAATTTACTATTGTTAAACTTTAGAAGAACGTATAAGACATATGGTATCACTATTTTAAGAAGCAACTATTCATCAATGCAGTCTGAATGAAAGTGTGATTCATTGAACACAATACACCTGAAAATTATGTAGATCCCATTAAAATCAGCAAGAGCTAACGAAGATGCTGCTATCGTTTTGCATAAATGTACCATATATAATTATTGTTTGTATATCAATACTATCAATTTGCTTAACTTTCTAAGTCAAAGTTCTGAATAACAAAAGTGTAGAAATTGGTATCAGCTCAAGGAAGTATTCTAAGTAATCGCATATATCTAGTATTTCTATAATACTTTTAACCTATTGAATTTTCTCATCTTCCCTATTTGTACATACCATTAGCTAGTAACTAATCAAACAGATCAGGTCTGTATTACTGGTACTAAAACAAACTAAGTTTAATACCAGCGAAACCAAGTAGGCTGTGTGAATACAGATTTGTAACTGATCCAACTTAAGCATATTGTTATAAACATAGCCCATATAAACTTATATCACATCCACAAACATTCCATGATGGAATTCTTCATTCCCACAATGCTCCTCTCCAAGTGTCCTGAGCATAATTTCACCTTGATTTGCCAAAGATCAACTATGTGACTGTTCATATACTAACTGAGTGCTGTGCTATGGCTTTTCAATAATGCTTCTATTATAGTTTGTAGGTTCCTTTTTCAGAATGATGAAAAGACAGGATTCTGTGGTTGCGACCTAAAATGCTTGTGATATGTTATTTCTTGCCCAAAACAATTTGGCATACTGTGTATTTGTGGTTGTCTTTGAAGAAAAACAAAATCAAAGGAGAGGAGCAAAGTGTGGCCACGGTTCAGCTGATGAGAGAGGGTAGAGATTTATCAGATCAAAGAAAGAATGCTCCATAAAAGAAAACAATTCTCCATAAGGAAGTGAATCAGACAATAAAACATACATAAATGGGAATAATAGCCAGAAGCAAGAAACCTAGAAGATTATATCATACATTAGCCATTTGAAGGAAATGGGCAATTCAGAAATGTGAAAAATAATGTTTCAAGCACTTGAACCTAAGAGATATCAAAAAGGGAAATGTAAATGTTTCCCCTGTCCAGTTGTGTCCAACTCTAGGGGGCAGTGCTCATCTCATTTTCTTAGCCGAGGAAGTCAGTGTTGTTGTCCAAAGACACTTCCAATATCATGTGGTCAGCATGACTATACCTGAGGCACATGAAATGCTGTTACCTTCCCACCAAAGTGGTACCTATTTATTTACTCGCAAACTGCTAGGTGGGCAGGAGCTGGGGCAAGTTGCTGGAATTGGGTATGTCTAGTTTAATGAAGAGAAGGACGAGGGGGGACATGATAGCAGTGTTCCAATATCTCAGGGGCTGCCACATAGAAGAGGGAATCAAGCTATCCTCCAAAGCGCCTGAAGGCAGGACAAGAAGCAACAGATGGAAACTAATCAAGGAGAGAAGCAACCTAGAACTAAGGAGAAACTTCCTGACAGTTAGAACAATTAACCAGTGGAACAACCTGCCTCCAGAAGCGGTGAATGCTCCAACACTGGAAGTTTTAAAGAAGAGACTGGACAGCCATTTGTCCGAAATGGTATAGGATTTTCTGCCTGAGCAGGAGGTTGGACTAGATGACCTCCAAGGTCCCTTCCAACATTATTATTATTATTATTATTATTATTATTATTATTATTATTATTATTATTATTATTATTATTATTATTATTATTATTAACGTCAGCCTATCACACAGCCTCAAATCTTGAACTTGGGCTATCAACTTTCCAGCTGACAAACTAAGTGTCTTTAACCACTGAGCCATTAAGAGTTATCAAATCCACTATTATTTCTTGTTATCTATGTGTACCTGGAAAATAAAAGGCATTATATGCATCCTAATATCAATACGGAAATGACATGAAATATATATATATATATATATATATATATATATATATATATATATATATATATGTAGGTCTTTGGTTGTTCGGGTTTTCTCCCACGTAAAATTGGAAGTGTCTTGGCGAGGTCGCATAAAATGGAAGCTCTTTGGACTTCAAGTTTTTCATAGGTCCTGGTCAGATGGTGGATTTCCTCCCCGTAGAGGTTCAATATTTGTTTTCTGAGGTTTTCGCGGGTATCTGTATGTAGGTCTTTGGTTGTTCGGGTTTTCTCCCACGTAAAATTGGAAGTGTCTTGGCGAGGTCGCATAAAATGGAAGCTCTTTGGACTTCAAGTTTTTCATAGGTCCTGGTCAGATGGTGGATTTCCTCCCCGTAGAGGTTCAATATTTGTTTTCTGAGGTTTTCGCGGGTATCTGTATGTAGGTCTTTGGTTGTTCGGGTTTTCTCCCACGTAAAATTGGAAGTGTCTTGGCGAGGTCGCATAAAATGGAAGCTCTTTGGACTTCAAGTTTTTCATAGGTCCTGGTCAGATGGTGGATTTCCTCCCCGTAGAGGTTCAATATTTGTTTTCTGAGGTTTTCGCGGGTATCTGTATGTAGGTCTTTGGTTGTTCGGGTTTTCTCCCACGTAAAATTGGAAGTGTCTTGGCGAGGTCGCATAAAATGGAAGCTCTTCCATTTTATGCGACCTCGCCAAGACACTTCCAATTTTACGTGGGAGAAAACCCGAACAACCAAAGACCTACATACAGATACCCGCGAAAACCTCAGAAAACAAATATTGAACCTCTACGGGGAGGAAATCCACCATCTGACCAGGACCTATGAAAAACTTGAAGTCCAAAGAGCTTCCATTTTATGCGACCTCGCCAAGACACTTCCAATTTTACGTGGGAGAAAACCCGAACAACCAAAGACCTACATACAGATACCCGCGAAAACCTCAGAAAACATATATATATATATATATATATATATATATATATATATATATATATATATATATATATATCCTTAATTATATATATATATATAAACGAATCCCAGGTATACACGTCGTGAAACTGATAAACAAAAACGATCACCAGGATAAAATCAGAAAAAAAGCTGTTTAATCTACAAAAGTACTGAGCTTTTGTCAGCCACACTGCCGACATTGTCAGAGTATAAAATACTGGATCCAGGACTCCGTTTTTTATATGACTGGCTGCTTCTATGCCCTGAACAATGACCTGAGCGGATCATTGGTCCGCTCATTAGCATCGGATGTGTTGTTCTTAAAGGAACCATGTTCGTATTGGCAATTATATATATTAGTATTCATCAATTACATCATAGTACAACTAAAGCTAATTACATAATTTGCATTATTTGTTTGACAATGTCATCAAGACACATCAAATGTTTTTTTAAAATAATTTTATTGAAAAGTTCAACAGAATTAAAAATAGTACAAATTTTGAATTAAATATAACAAAGTAATAACTGAAAATAAAATACATAAAAAGAAGTATAAAAAGGAAAAAACAAAGATTCTATGCTTCCAATCTTCTTGGCAGCGGTTATAGATATGTTTATATTTTACTCTCTTAAGGTTACATCATATATTTATTTCCATAAACTATTCTTTCTAATCTTCAAACCCATAAATCACATGTTCACTTTTCAGCAAAAGGTTCCAGTCAACAGGGTTCCAGTCAACAAATATATATGTAGTAGCTATTGATCTTTCTCTAACTAAACAGATGGCAAATCTCTGCTGGTTCCGTCATCTTCACCAATCTTGTACCAGATGTCTATGCAGTTTTGGATAAATAATGCTGCAAAGAACAGATATAATTGTATCTCTAAGACCTCTGGATTTATTATATTTCTTATCCATCCTTTCATAGAAAAGGATCAGAAAAGGAAAGAGCATTGTAAATAAATAATTAGCTTCCAAAATGGTTTTATCAGAAGAGATTTGTTTTGTGGGACCGTGGCCTCAGTTAATTAGGTGATGTACTATTGTCATAGCATTTTTCTCACAAATACTAGTAAAAAGGTATTTGGCCAAAGCATGATGAGTTGTCAGAAGAACATTAAACTTCATCTTGTACTTGAGTCAAGTTCTTGAAATGATTGTCTTGGTTAAAGACTTGCTATTAGAGAATATATAAAAATATTGGATTAAAACTTAGACAGAATTAATGACTCATAGATTTCACAGTCTTTACCTGTGTCTGCACTGAAGCTCAGAATATAAGAAATAAACAAGAAGAGCTTAAGTAATATAGGAAAGTAAATATAATTTATTAGGTATATTAAATAGACATGATAACAGTGGAGATCCTGGTAGAATGACTTCCATAATTGGAATATAGCAGCTATCCCCAACCTTTGCGGCTTGGCAGCCCAGCTGGGTGGAGAAGGGAACTGGACCATATGAGCACACACAAGCAGCCCTTACACAAGCAGTGGGCCAGCATGTTCGCGAGTGTCCACCAGCCCACCACTCATCCAAGTTCAGCTGTGCGCATACTCTGGCCAGCCACTCATATGGCCCAATTCTGAACAGGCCACGGCCTATCTTGCTCTATGAATCATCTGTCACAACTTGTTAATAATACTGGTGACAATGTAGACACGTTGCCCAGTGTTCAGAGCTTAGGTCATTCTCACCATTTTTGACATTATTGACTACTGTAGGCTCACTTGTTCTCAACAATAGGGTACAGAGGTAGTTCTTGTTTAACTATCAGAACTGGGACCAGCAATTCAGTTACTAAGCAAAGTGGTTGCTAAGTGAAACTGTGACGAACAGTTATGATCTTACTTCAACTTTCCTTTGCTTTACAGACTAATGAAGGTCATAAATTTGAGGAAAAGTTTTTTTTAATCACCATCTGGATTTGGCAACATTATGTTTGGAAGGTAATGAGGGTTGGATGACATAAAAATTAAGTATACATAAGGGCTGGTTTGACAATCACACTGAAGATGCTCATACTGCATGAACCCAGAGTAAAATATCGCCAGGTACTACAAAATCCAATTCAGACCCTGTACTTACATTTTGTATTAATGAGGTACAGGGCATTATCAAATGTGCAAATGAGTCTAGAACAGAGGTCCCCAACCTTTTGGGCACCAGGGACCAGTTCCGTAAAGAGAGGTTTTCCCGCTGACCGGATGGTGCATGGTTTTGTGTGCTGCCTGCATCCCACAGATGGGGTTTTGCTTGTTTGTGCAGACCGGTTGCTGGCATGCCGTGCCCCGGTATTGATCCACAGACCAGGGGTTGGGAGCCCCTGTTCTATAAGAGGAAACTGAAACACCAAATGATCATGATAGATCAAAGTAATTAACTGAAAACAGCAGCATTAAATTTAGAGATCAGTGTAAATTTACACAGGTATAAGATGGATTTTATTGGAAGGCCATTTGGGTCATCTGCAATTGGATGAGTCAGCAGTGAGATGCCAAAAAAAAGGGGGGTTACCACACTAATAATTGCAAATGACATAAAGCAAATGGCTTTACTACTTCATTTCGCTTTGGTTGGACTTGGACCTTGAAACAAGGTTAGAAAAAGCAGTAAGGATCAACAGGTAATTAGAAATTAAGCTTAATGAAGGGCGTCTATGGAGAGGGATACATTTAAATTTGGCAATATTGAAGGATTTGATATCATTTTCCAGATACCTGATAGAATGTCACATAGAACAAAGTCAGGACCTGTTCCTTTTTGTTCTGGAATGCAAGAACTGCAGTAATGGATTTATGTTACAGTAAGGCAGATTCTGACTACTGTAATTCCTAATAGTAACAATAATTTGACAGCGGAACCAATTACTTGGAGAGGAGGATTCTGCAAATGTTCAAACAGAAGTTAAATAGGTGTTTATGTAAATGCTTCCATTTGGATTCCTATATACCCAGGGAGGCACAATTCTATGCACAAATCGTCCTTCGCTGCTTTTGAGAAAACATCCTAACCTACCCACTCCTCCAGCTGGGCGACAGAAAGAATATTTATGATGATTTGCAATATCCAAGAAAGGGTCTCAATATATTAAATTTCCAATACGCACACACACACAAAAACCTCAAACCGCTTAAAAAGTTTCTGAATCCTATTTCGAAATGAGGCGCTCGAAATGGGATTCAACGGAGTCTTTAAAGGCCAAGAGTGAGGAGCGAAAAGCGCGTGAGGACTGATGTTTCCTTAAAATTCTTGGGCAAAGCTTGAAAAACGAAACTCTGCGAGGCGGGTCCATCTGCCTGCCTGAACCACTATTCTGCACCTCGCCCCTTAAGAGGGTTTTCCAGGTAGACTCGACAAGTACACGTTGCTCAAACCCGTCAAAGCCTACGGGTCTTACTTGTTGGCTGCCTACCCGTCCATTCCTGGCCGTCTTTAGCTTGCAGTAGAGACAATCATCCCAAAATAAAGTCATTCTCCTCTCTAGTCTTTGGGGTCAGGCAAATAAACACCCACCCCTCTCGTTCCTCTTCCTTTGCTGCCGCCTCCACCTCCCTGGACAGAAGGGTCTTCAGCGGTGCACGCCCGCGCGCTCCCGAGGCAGCCAGACTCAGTCAGTCAGTCAGACCGCCAAGCCACTCAGAAGGGATTCCTGGCTGAGTTCCAGGTCGGCGCACTAATACAAGCTGCTAGGCTCCCGCCTGACTGACGCCACGCTCGCTCGCTCGATCCCTGGCTGACTGGCTGGCTGGCTGGCTGCTGCTGCTGCTGCTCTCGCTTGCTCTGGCCTCTGCCGCCGCCGAGCTCCTGCAGCCGCGTCCCTTCACGTTAGGAGGGGGAAGTGTGAGCCACTCGCTCCAAAGAAGTTGGCGCAGTCCCGGGAAGGCGACGGCTGGGCATCCGGCGGGAAGAGCAGGCGGCTGAGGCGTTCAACTTACGGGCCGGTACCAAGCTTTTGTTCGAACTCATTTATATGTTGATTTCTTTTCCTCCGGCAGAAATGTCAGTTTCGCCCCGAGACTTTTGCCTGTCTACGCCGGGCTCCCCGGTTTTGGTTTTCTGTGCCGCAGCTTGCCTCAGGACACCCCTTCGCAAACTTCAGTCCGCTTCCCTCGCTCGCTCTGTTTACGTTGCCTGCATTGCAGGCGTCAATTTCCTCGGCCAGCAGCTACGTGGTGCCCAGCCCTGCCCTTCGGCGGACAAGGCACTTTAAGCCTGAACTAGACTTTGGAGGGGGCTTTGGCAGCCGTCAGTTTCCTTTTGGCTCTTATTACGTCCGGGTGTTTTCATTCCCAACGAAGATCTTCGGCTATGATAGGTGTCTGTGCGCGCGCGCACACACACATAGTTTATTTTAGGAAATAACTCCTAACGCTGGTAGCCTGTGACACTGAGAATTCTACGTTTATTTGAGAAGGAAACCTTTTAACATAATGGGCTCTACTTCAGAGTAACCTGTGTGAAACTCCTACTGTTAGGCGAGGCTGGTGGAATCCCAAAAACAAAAGAAAAAAAAGGGGGGGAGGACTTAAAGCAATCTAAGTTAATCATTCATAAAACTAGAATAATAGAGTTGACCGTGCAGTGACATCTCTTTAACTTGCTCTTATTCTTAATAGTCGACATTGTTTTCGAAACATTACACTCATAAGCGAGGGCTTGCCCTTCTTTTGGTGATCTTAGAAACGCGCAGAAAGGAAGGAAGGGGGAGGGGGAGAGAAAGGATTGATATAGGAGACAGACTGACGCCAGTATTGTGATCGGAAGGAGGGGCTCAACGCGAAACGTTTTTTATGGGTAGTTAACCGCTGTCAAGCGCTCTTCAGCCTCTATTTTGATTTCTTTCTCTGCTTTCTAAATTAAGACGGAAAGCGTAAGGGTTCATGCCGGAAAATACTTCCTTAGGGTGCTCTTCAACTTCTAGACTAGGTTACCTGACTATAAAATCAAGTTTTTAGGGAGAAAAATTATATTTAAAAACAAACGTCAGGAGTCTCGAGACAACATAAATGCTGATTTATTTTATAATAATAATAGCGCTAGAATACCTTTTCAGTTGGCTGTTAAAGACGTTGAGTACTAAGGTCCAATCTTGCAATTTGTCAATTTCTGTTATAAATAACATAATCTGCTCCAAAGTTGAACATGTTAGTCCCGATGAGTTTTTCTAAGCCAAAGTTGTGCATGGCCAGAAGAGAAAAAATATATTTTTAATTCTTAATAAAAACCGTCAGACACTCTCCATTTTCACCTAAATTAAAAAGCTGAAAATTAAGAAATGTGGGGGAAACTCAGGAATGATTCTGGTTTAAAGGGGCCATGGGCTTTGCACTGATAGTGAAAACAGTAGTGAACTGAACTGATTGTATATTCAGAAACACTCCTGAAATTATAGGAGTATGTCATTGACACCTTGGATTGGATGAAACCACAGAATTTATTTGATTTTGAAAGACTTAAGAACAGGTAAATCTTAACCTCGGCAAAGTTGGGGATGTTTCACATTCCTGATATAAAAGGAAGCAAAACATTTGGGCATTTCAGCATTTATGCTGATTCCCTTTACGTGATATCTGAAATGTTAGTCTTTATTTTAAAAATTACTTGAACTGTTAGAGTTCTATGAGAAAAGAACTTTTGTGACTAGAGAAGCAATGTATGAGCACATAATCAGGTTAAGATTTACGTTCTGTAGGCAAATTACATTCTTAGCTAAGAGAACAAATTACAAACCTGTAATTTTCTCTTAATGAATGAATTATCTTATGGCCCAGAGACATAGGAAATAATATACAGGTTCTTGAAATGTAGCCAAGTTCACAGTTGTCCAGGAAAGGCACTGCAGATAAGAAAAACATTCATTATTTTGTAACAAAGAATTATAAAGATAAATGATTCAAGTGATTCAAAAAACAATAGTGGAGCAATAATTTAGACATTTACCGTAGTTTTTAGAGAAGTGGAAAACAATGGTTATAGTTCAAATAAATTGTTGCAACTGTTAAATATTGTAACGTTATTTATATTTGACTTTTAAAATGGAGTTGGTTTAAGTCAAATGACTGAGTGAATCAACAATAGTACCTGTATGTATGTAAATATTGCATTAACCATTGATAGAATGTATCTAAAAGCAATTTCAGATACTAACTAATCTCATTCCTATTTAATCTGTGACTTTGTGTACAACTCATATCTTAGTCATTTGGCATGATAATATTCTGTATTATCACTGCAACATAGACTTCTTTGTTATTGTTGTTGTTAGTTGCGAAGTCGTGTCTGACCCATAGTGACCCCATGGACGTTCCTCCAGGCCTTCCTGTCCTCTACCATCTTCTCCATTTAAGCTCATCTTCTCCATTTAAGCCTACTGCTTCAGTGACTCCATTCAGCCACCTCATTCTCTGTCGTCCCATTCTTCTATTGCCCTCAATCTTTACTAGCATTAGGCTCTTCTCCAATGAGTCCTTCCTTCTCATTAGTTGGCCAAAGTATTTGAGTTTCAACTTCAGGATCTGGCCTTCTAAAGAGCAGTCAGGGTTGATCTCATCTAGGACTGACCAGTTTGATCGCCTTGCAGTCCAGGGGACTCGCAGGAGTCTTTTATCATAATTAAAAACCATTTCAAAGCAACAGCAATTCATCAATTCTTTGTGGTATTAAAAATATTGTATGATCATAAAACTGATACTAGTTTGAGTAACATGACATTACAGTTTCTTACAAACAAAGCATTACAAAGGATTCTCATCTTTATAGTTGAAATCTATCAATCTAGTATAAAGAAATTTTCATTTCCCAACTGAGAGTAGGAGACCTAGTTCTAAAATGGATGCATGGGAATAGGAATTTAAACTACTCAGTGGCTGGGTTCACAAATAGAGTGAGGTGATTAATATGATTTATTCAGTGTTGGCTTCACATCTTACGTGAACCAGCCACTGTGGTTTATGCTTGCTCATGATATGAACCAGTTTTGTTCAATATTATTTTTTTGTTCAATAAAACCATTACAATGGTTCTGGCTGTCAGCTATATATGATCATATCTTGCTTTTAGTCTAACAGTAACCACTTTCTACTGGAAAACCAGAGTTCTGGAAATAAGACATAATGACTTGGAAATATTGTGAAAATGTTACTATCTTACTACAGTGTGGTAAATTTTTAAACCTTTACTGGACTGTAGGCCATTGGAGGTAGAGTGCTATAACAAATGTGAAATAGTAATAATAAATAAATAATAATTGGACCAAAAAACAAGAAAACTGATGACTATTCACTATACATTACATTCCCATGATATTGATAAATTATACCTTCCCTTCAGAAATGAAAGCAGAAGTTTACTTCAGGTCAAACAAACTGTCAAAGAAGAAAAATATGCATTGGCTGATTATAGAAAAGACAGCCAAGAACAAGCATTGATGCAATTAAAAATTCGAACTTATTGAGTGTATAGGAAGCAAAATGTGAATATTAAAATAATGAAAACAAAAACAGAATACTGCCAAGGAAAAATAACTGGTTAGTTTTTACAAAAAAGATTGAGGGGAAAGTAGATAAAGATAAAACCGTGAAATGATTTAAAACTGGAACATTAAAACATTAAAAAAAGAAACTGAAGGCTGGGCACAAGGGCTAGCTATTCAAACTAATACAATCAAAGCCAGAATTGAAAAATCATCAAATGATTCACAATATGACAAAATTAGTGGACTAGAAAAATGCTGTAGATATAATTTACTTGAACTTAAGTAAGGCATTTGATAACGTAGACCACAACCTATTACTTGATAAGATAGAAAAATGTGGGTCAGACAGCATCATCACCAGATGGATTGGTAACTGGCTGACCAACTGCAGTTAACATGTCATCTTTAATGCAATTTCATCTACATGGAGGGAAGTACGCAGTGGGTAGCCCAAGGCTCAGTCTTAGGCCCTGTACTCTTCAACATCTTCATCATTGATTTAGACGAGGGGATAGAGGGAAAACTCATCAAATTTGAAGATGACAGCAAACTGTCAGGAATAACCAACACTCCAGAAGATAGGCTCAAGATAAAGAAGGATCTCTACAGATTTGAACATTGGGCCCTATCTAACAAAATGAAATTCCGTGTTGAGAAAAGTAAGGTTCTACATTTAGACAAGAAAAATTAAATGTACAGGTATAGAATAGGTGGTATCTAGCTCAATAGTAGTAATTGTAATAGAGATCTTGGAGTCCTAGTGAACAATCATTTAAATATGAGCCAACAATGTGCTTCAGCTGCCAAAAGAGGCAACATAGTCTTAAGCTGCGTTGACGGGGATAGAATTGAGATCAAAGTGTTAAACTGTTAGTATCACTTTATAATCCCTTGGTAAGGCCACACTTGCAATATTGCATCCAGATTTGGTCACCAAGAAATAAAAAAAATGTTGAGCTTCTAGGAAAAGTGCAGAGAAGAGGAATAAACATGATTAGGGAACAGGAGGCTAAACTATATGAAGTTTAATAACAGGAAGGGCTAGGGGTGACGCAATAACAATGTTCCAATATCTAAGGGACTGTCACAAAGAAGAAGGGGTCAACCTATTTTCCAATGTACCTGAAGGGAGGACAAGAAGCAATGGATGGAAAGTAATCAAGGAGAGAACCAACTTAGAACTAAGGAGAAAATTCCTGACAGAACGAATAATCAATGGAATGACTTGCCTCCAGAGGTTTTGGGGGCTCCAACACTGGAGGTTTTTAAGAAGAGATTGGACAGCCATTTGTTTTGAAATGTTATAGGGTTTCCTGCTTGAGCAGGAGGGTGGACTAGAAGACCTCCAAGGACACTTCGAACTCTGTTATTCTATTATTATTCTGATTCAAAGTACAGATTGGGCAAAGAAATAGGAGAAGCAGTAGTTCATATACTCAGATCATGCAAGAATATCACAAAAACTAA